GAGAAGATGCGCATATAATGTTAGGGTCCTGTTTAGTGTTATTTAGTGGCGTCGCGTCGTCGAAGTCTGGGCGCTGAAGTTGTCTAGCGAGGCGTTCTGCACGTGCATTGTAATCGCGACGTCTGCCCACAAGTGACGCGTGGGCCCAACGCTGACGCTTGGCTTCGACGTTGGCGTTGCGTATAGCGGGGTTTGCTTGTCGACGCTGCACCTGCGTTTTCGCATGCCGAGCTCGAGTTTTATCCGTAGCAGTTTCTGGCCGAAATTGCCGTTGGCACTGGGCTTCCACTGAACCTCTAGTTCACTATACCTAGACCGGAGCTCGGGGTCCGCTTGCCGACGTTTACGTTGCGCTTAGGCGCGTCGAGCATACCGCTACTCCACCCGCTGCTCCGCGATCTCTGCAGGTATCTAACGCAGTGAGAGTGTAAGAGAGAAAGGCCGCAGACTCTTACACAACCACTTACTCAGCGCTGAACGCGCTAGCGCGTGCTAGCGCGTTCACTCTAGTATAGAACGCGTTGTTTCATTGCTTCTCTGTGGAATATTGGTCCGCGTCGCCTTCACATGTTTGCTGAGAGAGCGTGACAGGCAGAGGCCACATCTTACCCAATCCCTTACACAAGCCAGAACGCGCTAGCGTAATAGCGCGTTATGGCAGTGCTTGGGCTAGCTGTTGCGCATGCGTAGTAAAGGTGGTCATGCCACACACCGCATTGAACCCCGTTGTAATATGCTTCGCATGTAAAAGTTGGTGGCCATTGCGATCTCCTAAAAGTTTACGCCATAAAATTTCAATGGAAAACAAAGACGTGAATTAGAGTCCACTCGCGAATTAAGTTATGTTGCCTTGGATACGTAAATGCTAGACCAGTCACGGAATAAAAGTGGCCTTTGGCTGACAAAAGTGTCAAAGCGTGACCTTACATTAATGGTTCCCGACTTTAGCGGACGCTATTTAATGGTGGCGAAATGCAAGAGCAAACAAGTACTTATATTCAGGTGCGCGTCAAAGAATCCTATGTAGTAAATGTTGGTGCGTAGTGCCCTAGCCTTCGCCTTCTCGAATTCTTTGTTGAAATTCTTTTAGCGGCACGGCCCAGTGCTCTCGCATAGTAGAGTACCTCGTACTCGAAATCATTAAGAACTTTTTCGAAACACACTAATAAAAAAATTCAGAAATAGCCAAATTAAGAATGGCTCACTGCTCTCCCATAGCTGAGTACAGTGTACTCGAATTTGTTAAACACTACTGTAGGCACACTAATAATAAAGCTTAGTTATCTCCAATTATACGTGGTTCCATATATAACAGCCGTCGGTGCTGTTTTCGCTAGCGAAGCTTCTAACAGTAGATGCGTTCGTTCCGACCAATTTATTTTATTTCGAAAGACTGCCCTTTGGCATAACAAGCATACATATAAACGAAAGAGGCTCATCACACATAAATAAACAAGTTACACTCATGCATAAGGTTTACCAAGGCTCAGTAGAACGTTCCAACAAGAGAGAGAATAAAATGAGAGAAAGGCAGGGAGGTTAACCAGAAATTGGAGCATCCGGTTCGCTACCCTGTACTAAGGGAAGAAAGAATGGGCACTACCCTGCACTAAGGGAAAGGAGAACGTTCCAACAAATACTTCGCACTTGTTTTGGGCCCACAATGTGATTTCTATCAGTTTTAAGTCGAACAATAAAGTTCTCGTGGCTTGGAGATAAACAACCCTGAACTAAGGCGGTGAATATGTTGTTGCATATTTCTTGACTCGCATTGGTGTTTTCATTTGTTTGTTTTTCATTTGAAGCGTCCAGACACTTGCCGCGCTTGCCTTTGCTATGCTATGTGCGCACGAGCACTTACAGCGACTGTGAAACATGGCTATGACGCGTACGATGTTATAGATTTTGCTGACCGAACGTCTTACGTAGCCTCCACCGCGTTGAGGGCAATGCATTTCACGGACAATAGATATCAGCGACGACGTTTGTGCATTCGTTCACCGAATGACACATCGACAATGCGCCATTCGTAATGTCTTTGACCGGCCGCTGAGTGGACGTAGTCTGACGAATTGTTCTGTTGCCGCTATTTTGGCGCTCAAGACCAGCCATTGGCGAAGTATTACGCAGACAACTTCGTACATCTTCGTCGCAAATTACCCGTTACAGATTTGATTGATTGATATGTGGTGTTTAACGTCCCAAAACCACCATATGATTATGAGAGACGCCGTAGTGGAGGGCTCCTGAAATTTCGACCACCTTGAGTTCTTTACCGTGCACCCAAATCTCAGCACACGGGCCTACAACATTTCCGCCTCCATCGGGAATGTAGCCGCCGCAGCCGGGATACGAAACCGTGACCTGCGGGTCAGCAGCCGAGTACCTTAGCCACTAGACCACCACGTACGGGGCCCGTTACAGATTTAGACACCATAAATTTTCACCAATGAAAAAGAAGTTCTGACGCAAGGAGCCAGCAATACGTTTCATATCTGCTTAGATTTGTTTCTACAAACATAACTAATGTGTTAAAAAAATGAGGCATTTACATTCGTAAAAATAACCAGGCAGCGGGTAATTAGGAACGCACCGCGGGGGCGGAGATTGCTAATTTTAGAATTATGCCTTCGAAATTAGTGTTCCTACATCGACAGCCCATATATATCGAGGCTGTTTTAAGTTGGGGAGAAATATAAGGTATGACCATCGTAACGACCATCTCCAATATTGCCTTGCTCCTCCAATTTGCCGCGCCGAGATGTCGTGAAATTGCACCGCAGTTCTGAAGCAAAAATCTATAGGAAAGAAAAGAAAACTGCACCATAAGCTACGAAAGCTAATTCATAGAACATCACCACCAACAAGGCTCCGGTGGTCGGCGCAGCCTCGCGGAATTGATCGTACGCCCTTCCCTCTTCTTGAGGCGGTTCTAAAAATCGACCAATTTCTGTGGTACTCGGGATAAATACCGCAGGGTAGGCGGCGGAGGTGGTGGAGGTAGAGGTAGCTAGACGTCTCTCGGCTCAGCGGGGAGTCGTTATTAGATTTATTGTTTTATTTTGTGCAAGACCACGGAAAACCGCCGTCGCTGGCATTAAATGAACGTCGAGGAAGTCTTGTGGGTTACGAAGCTGTATGGAAAAGAAGCAAGCGTTTAGTCGTGCTTCCAATGAAAGTTCGGCCGTCTATCAATTAAAAAAAAGCTTTCATTGCTTGAAAATGCTGTACTAAAATCAGTAAAAGAGAGTTCAAGTTTTCTGTTGAGGCTCTAAGTGCTTGAGGTAGAAGTTTTGAAAGTGCCGCGCACAACTTTCCCTTGAGTTTAATTTCTCCGCTGCTCCTTAACTTGTGAGTATAGCGTTGAACAAATTAAAAAAAATGTCAGCAAACACTCGAGGAGCAAATACATCGCGTGTTCGTAGTGAATTTCACGCGTACTTATCGGCGTATACACGTGGAAGATCTCTAGCTGGTGCTAGGTTTCTCGTGTTAATAATTTGTGCGACAACACTATTTAAAACAAAAAACATATTACATAGGACTTTTGGAGAAAAATTCATCGAACTAATAGACGAGAATCATTTGCTTCGTGCTTTGGCAGCTTGCATATCGTGTAACCAGTGTAATGCGTGGCCGAGCGCTTCTCTAATCCGCCTTCGTTGAAACGCTGTCGTCGTCATTCGGCAGTCGAACCCACGAGCAAATCAACATAAGAGAGACTACAAAGTGACGGCAAGATTATGGCATGCAGAGTTTATCCCCATTCCAACCTATTTTAAGCCTGCTCTTTTATAAACAAATTCACCGTCTTCATTTACCTGGCCACATACGTAACCACAAGTTCCATTTACGGGGACGCACGCCTTAGCATTATTAGTTAACGGATGTGTTTTTGTCTAGACAGTGGGTATAATGCTTGAGCGAACAGCGCGCTAACTTCCGAACTTCGATCACACGAACGCCAGATTTTTATTGCGTACCACACTCTCAAAGCAGAGTTTGTGGGATTGACTTACTTTTCTCGCCTTTTTGTTCACGACAACCCCCCCCCTTCCCCCCCTCCTCTGTAGCTATGCACACAGCGAGCGAGTGGCCAAAGAGCGTCTCCCTACCCCCCCCCCCCTCATCATTTTGGTCGTTTAAGGGGCACAAGTTAGCCCTGTACCTTTACCAAGTCGGAGCTGTTGTACCATTATTTCATGCGAGAGTCCATCGCGACGCTCGTCGCTTGCTTTCATATTCGTAACGCATAAAGGAATATGATGGAAGGCACAGAAGGAACACATAAACAGGACAGGTGCTACAGATCGACGTATCTTTTATTGAAAAAGCCAAAAACCATCGTACATGAGCGCATGCGCATAATCACACTTTGAGTTGCTCTGTTGCATCTGTAACGTCACGTGTTACCAGCCTACATGCGCAAGATATACTTCCAAATAGTCAATACTTCCAAATAGTCAATATATTTACTGAATAAGGCGACCAACGCAACAATGACACTTTTTTTATTCTGGCTGATGACAAACGCTTCTATAATTTTTAGTGACGTTAATGTGAGCCGTCTATAGCCAATATACGCGCCTCCGTGGTGGTACTATACTACGAACGCAACGAATAGGGGTCAGTCAATATAGTTTCAACCAAAATCAACGTTAAAAAAATAACTGAAAAGCTGTTGGTGCGAACACGCTGTACAACACATGCTAAAGCCCACGAATATCTGTGAAGTCCAGTAGTCTCCGTCTCTAATAACTGCAATTGAGCTTCTATGACCTTAATGCATACGTAGCCAAAGGAACAACACACAGCGCAAGAGTCGGGATGAATCCACTGACCAGCTCTGCCGTGCACGAACTATAGGCAGAAACGTGATGAGGCAACACAATGGTGACTCCCGAGCAAGAACAATACAAAAAGAATCGCGTAATCTAAGAGCACATTATACTCGCGTCCTTCATCGTCATTTCCAACATGCTTGTTTCCCATTTCCTCACCTGCTGAAATCCTCCCGTCTGCACAGACTCCCTTCGCGTATCCATGAGAAAGACCAGGTCTTCACGGCTAAGGCACAGGTCGTGGGAGATCTGGCAGCTAAGGCCCTGCGATGAACGATACGATACGGCACTTCGACAGGAAGTAGAGGTGGCGAAATAAGCGAAGTCTTTCCGGAACAGCGGCGTCTTGAATCTTACGTAACGCGCGTCAAGATCTGCTCATCCGTTCTAATTAGAGCAAAAAGAAACGTATTCAATTGCGTGTAATAGAAGATATTTCACGTAACGTGAGGTATCTTTGCAAAGTTTGGGTCATTCTTTGCCTGCTTAGATGTATTGTCGACGAAAAATTAACGAAAAAAAACATTCGCAGCTCTGTTTTGAGGTTAAAGATATTGTGCGCATGCGTGAGAATCCAAAGCAGCAGTAGGTAACAGTTTATTCAGAGATGAGGGCACAGTGAATAGTATGTAAGGATGTAACTAAAGAAAGAAACGCGAACATTGGAAATGTGAACATATTAAAATTTGCTGAAAAATTACTTTGTAGACAAGTTGAATAATGAAGGAAAACCCTGCCAGCTTGCCTAATATGACAGTTCTCTTAATCTTGGCAGTTACTTTCTTATTAAGTCAGGATAGAATTCTGTGAAATCAACCAAGGTAATGAATAAAGCCTTGTTATCTATCTATCGTGAAGTACTATGTATCCATATCGTGCCTTTACTTCTTGAAGAAAGATAATGTGAGTGTAGTTCTGATATTGTAATCCTATTGAATTTAATCAATAGCGTACGAAGAACATGAGCTACGTTCACTTCTATTCTCCTACACTGCCATGTTGGGCTTAAACATCTGCATATGCGAGCACTGCGTAAAACCAGTATCCTTTCCATCTAAGCAGCGAATATTCTAGGCACTAAGTAACACACGAAATATCTGTCGCATAGAAATCACTTCATTGTTCTTGAATATCATTCATATCTATGTTCTTCCTCACATAAAATATCGCGTCAAACAATAATATCGCGTCATAATGACACGAAGACGGAAGAAGAGAAGGACACAATATGGATGTGTGCATGCTCTCTCCGTGACTTCTTTTTACCACAAAAAAAAAGGGGGGGGGGGGGCTTGCATACACAGGGATGAAAATAAGACTACACACATAAGCGACAACTTCGAACTGAATTTTTATTAGGGGGCACATATTTGTGACGGTAATCATCAGTCCTGCACCATTCCACTTTTTTTAAAATCACGACACCCTTCAGTTATAACTAGTCAGCTAACAAGAGAAAGGCGTCTGTTACGCACACAAACAGGCCGATCATTAAGAGTATAACCATAAACAGCCCCACGTTTTCTCTCTCAAAAATTAATTCAGTTCTTTTAGAATATTATTTTTTATAACAGGAAGTCATGTTCTTGTCTAAAAAATATGAACGCAAAATGCGACGCAAGAGGAAGAAGAGAAACGCGCACCAAAAGCGCTTATGGTGTGTGTTGTGGGTGTGTGTTTTACTTCTTCATGTTGCGTCGTCTTTCGCGCTCAAATTTCTGTATGGAAAATGCTATTCCAGCAATCCCACCAAGCTATCCTGTTTTAAGGAATTATGGTGTTGCCACTAGCCCAAACATGAACAACATTCTTTCCCTTCACCTACGTGTCATTTTTAGCGCAAGAAATTTTCCATAAATCACTAAAATTTCATTGTACACCCTATGTACTTTCACCGCCAATGCCCTATTATTTGCGCGGTTTCCTACGCTTCTGTACCTTTAAATAACACCAACCATGATTCCTAGGTTCTCGAAAACCTCGTCGATGGCTTCCGCGAGTTCGTCAGCCACGGTCCGGGCGCCGAACAAGAGGCTCAAGGCATCGGCCAGCACCCGCTGCTTGAGTCTGTTGGTCGGCTCGTCCTCCACCCTTGGACTCCGGTAGAAGCTGGGTTGCCCATTCACCTCGGTCACCACAGGTTGGAAGGAAGTGTTCAGCGTCAGGTCCACCCCGAGCAGCTGGAAGCACTTGGGAAGCCTGCACGCAGTAGGAAAAGTAAAATTTCTGTGGTTAGCTTACTAATTAACATGTGTCCCGTAGTCACCAGTGATAGGATACTGATCGGTTTTGGTTTTATACTGTTACATTACTAAACATATTCCTTGTGATGCAATGCTTTCTTTCAGTCATTAAAGAACGCACTGCTTAATTGGGGTGCGTTGAACAATGCTTGCACCACCTCAGTCTCTTCGACAGTTCCAGAGAGAGCAGCACTTCTTTAACTGAAGAATGACCTGCCCAACATGCTGTAATTTCCTCGCACGGAAGTTCGTAATGCTCAAACTTTCTCAATGGACTCTAACAAGTATGTTCTGCCACCAGTCACTAGGATGACTGAAACGCCCTAACTAAAAGAGGCCTCAATATAAAATTCTAGGTTACACCTCCCCATGTTGGTGTGAGCAGCAACCAAAGAGCATGCAGATGCCTTAGCCAACAAAACACTTTCAATACAACCAGCAGTCAGAGCTTCTATAAACAAGCAAGCACCAAGACAGACAATTCAATACCACTTTCGCTCTCTTAAATACGCCGCATCAGCCCTGCGTTACAAGTGGGCTTGACGAACCGAGTAAAGCCTTCTGTACCGAATTAAAACAAAAACGACCAGCCTACATTCCTGCGTGGTTACTAAAAATAAGGAGCCATCCTTCCACTCTGTGCACTGACTACATTGAAGCTACTGATATATGGTACTACATCTACAGTTTTTGCTATGAAAGAGAAAGGCTTACCCCTGTATTCATAAATGCTTCTTCACTTGAACTAGACTTGAAACCACCTTTAATGCAGCGCGTTTCAAGGCAGATTAGATAGATAGATAGATAGATAGATAGATAGATAGATAGATAGATAGATAGATAGATAGATAGATAGATAGATAGATAGATAGATAGATAGATAGATAGATAGATAGATAGATAGATAGATAGATAGATAGATAGATAGATAGATAGATAGATAGATAGATAGATATAGATAGATAGATAGATAGATAGATAGATAGATAGATAGATAGATAGATAGATAGATAGATAGATAGATAGATAGATAGATAGATAGATAGATAGATAGATAGATAGATAGATAGATAGATAGATAGATAGATAGATAGATAGATAGATAGATAGATAGATAGATAGATAGATAGATAGATAGATAGATAGATAGATAGATATAGATAGATAGATAGATAGATAGATAGATAGATAGATAGATAGATAGATAGATAGATAGATAGATAGATAGATAGTCCCATTTTATAACATCGCTATTGCACATTTCGACAGCCTACGTAAAGAAAGCACCCAAGACAGGCGCCGCGTACACTGCAGAGTGGCTAAACATTACCAGCTGACAAATCAAAAGCGCGAGTGCTTCTCATAATTTAGCCGATTACAGCACGAGTACCTCAAGTAATTTATTATCATACTAAAAAAGGTAATTCCAGCTAAATAGTAACATAACTAAGAGTCAAGGGGCGTTTCAGTGGGCACCACAATAAAATGAAAAACATTTTGCTCTTAATAGAGCCTCATCCACGCACAAGAGTCGCCAAGAGGCACGTGCCGAAAGGAAACGAATTTCTCTGGCGCCAATTTGCTCCGGCAGTTCTTATAAAGAACCACTCGCACTTGCAGAAAACGTGACTCTGGCTGAGGCTGTCCCCTGCAGAGGCCCCGTGGGCTGCGGAAAACTTTCCTATCGAGAGAAAAAAGAACATAAAAAGATGAAAGAAGAGATTAAGAGTAGAAAAATAAAGGTGCCGGTTTTTACACGTCTTCGTTCGAACTCGATTGTGCGAGGATCAAAATAAAGTGCGGCAGACCAGCCAAAACAGCGTCAGACGAACGAGGCCTAGCGATTCGGAGGGCGCCAATTAACAACGCCATTTTTTTTTTCGAGGTTCGAGGCCAGTCAAAGTAAGTGGTTCTTTTAGCGAAGCCAAGCGCCAAAGAATTGACAAGCTTTGAGCAATGCGAACGGAGCGCAAATAAAACCTAATGAAAGAAAGAAAGCGGTAAGGTGCAAAGAGACTGTAGTGGACATAGCAGTAACGATGTGTACCACAGGCCTTGCCACCAAGGGTGTTCATACTGATTTTATTATGACAGGCCTTCCTTCACTTCCCGGATACTACATGAGTATTATTTTAAAGACGTGAGGTACGTTATCTAAATGACGCGCAGTAAGACGAGAAGGAGACAAATCTTGATTTTTCTCCCTGCTTGGATTAGGGTAGGAACGGCCATTTTGATTCAGCTTGTCATAGAAATCGGGTTAACGATTCGAATACTACTCTGTATGACGTATTCTTGTGAGGAGTCGAGTGAGTTTGATTTGTATTAGCAAAGAGGAGAGGCAAAGAGGTCGAGGACGTTCCATCTGACTGCTACCCTTCTTTGGAGTAGGGGATGGTTCCACATGAGTGCTGTCTGTTTTTGTCTTGAAGAGGAGCCGCTAGCTCTCAGCTGAAAGTGCTCAGGTGCAGCATCCAAGGTTGTGTTTCAATGATGGAATGCAAACAGAGAAAGAAGAGAGCCAAGAGACTAAGTCCGGCAGAAACGTTAAATCATTAATGGGCTTGTAGTAACTTCAGTGGCATATAAAGTGAAAAATAGAGCTGAATATGACCATTCAAACTAGTTGAAAAACGTGAATACAATTGTTTAGAAGCATGACAGTGTTTAAGCTCAGACTACTTTCTTGCTGGCTCCAGCATTGACTTCGAGTCATGCTCACTCTTCAGTCTACAGAAGCCTTCCCTATTTAAATGGCTGCAGATGGAGCATCATGCCGCCTACTCAAAAGTATAAATGCAGCTGTGGTGTTAGTATAGATAAAGTAAAAAAAACGTGCTGTGGAATCCATCCCTATCGGAGACACTGCCTGTGCTTTCGATACCAATGGGAGCAGATTACTCTTTTTTTTTCTCCTGGGTACGACAGTTCCACTTACGAGTCAAGTAATGTGAAAAGAAAAGCGCAGGAGGTGTAACCATTTGAACCACTTCGCGTTGCGTAACGGCTTGTCTAATTGAAGGAGAATACGTATTTATCATGCGTATATGCACAATTCCCCAATTCGCTAAAGGAAACAGCACAACGTGCAAGGAAATGTCGCGTTTTGTCACTTTCCTGTGGTATACTGTAAACTTAACAGATCGTGGTAACAGTTCTGTAGACCATCGAGTTATCCTCCGTGGCCGGATTCACCATCGTGTCTGCTCTTATTAGCTCATATAACCCCACTACCACCATTTCCATTGGTTCAAAGTGGCGCCTTCTCAAAACTTGACAGTACGGTGGAATTTGACAATGTACAGTAGTGAGGAGCCCTTCTCGTCGTGTCTTCGAAAGCAGGCATTAGTAAAAGAAAATATCAGTGCCCACGCTTACCGCGAGGCTAACACCATCAGCAAAACGAGAATACAACCACCAAAACCACTACAGAGAAACAACTGTGTTACGAACCTCGACCTACGAAGTCCCTGCGCGGCCGGGGTCGACTGTAGCACGGCCTCGGCTACGAGGAGCGTCCGCACCAGAACGTCAGAGAGGCTCTCCAGCGCCGTCTGCAGAGACTGGCGGCCGTAGTTGCGCTCCACGAAGCGCCAGAAGCGTGACAAGGGCTGCACCCGCATGCCGGGCTGCGTGGACAAAGAAAGAATAAAGAACGACGGGGATTTGCTTTACTGGCAAGTGGGCTCTGAAGCAAAAGACCTTGTACATTGCACACCTCATCACGCTAAATAAAAACCTGAACTTTTGTCAACTGACAACGCTTCATATATTAAAAGGAAAGATATCTTTAAAACGTTGGCAGTTCAGTGCTCTGTCTCGTCTTTTCTATCCCCTCCTGTCGTTTTCACTTTATCATGTTATAACAACACGCCAAATCCTGCCATCTCTTAAGGGTATCTTTAGCAAAAGAATGATGGCGTGATCATCGTGCATCGATTGGGGAGAAATGATCCTGGCACATGTCAAAGTTCTAGTTCGGAATTTTGGAGCAAAGGGGTGAGAGGTAGCTCTGAGATATGCCGTATGAGTAGGCTGCGCATGAACTTTTCCTACTTCTATAGATATTTATGCATAGAATAGTATCAGTATTTGTAGTTTACGAGCAGTCGACCCACGGTAAATGCGCATTCTGGGACATGAGTTGAAATGTGAATTGTGTAATGATCTGTGAAATCGTTGGGCTGATCAATTTAGGGCATCCTTTCGTATACATCCCCATACCATGCGAGTTAAAATATACCGTACACTGATCCCGACGGGCGCCAAGTCTTCTCTTCCTCTCACGCAAACAAAAGCACGCACACCGCTCTTCATTTCGTACTCCGTTGTATCTCGTTTATATTGTCTTATTTTTTGTTATTTTTTGTCCGTTATCTTCACTCCAGTCCTTATAAAATGACACAATGGCGGAGTCCATTTCCTTAACATTTCATAGTGCAAAATTTTGCACTTCCAGAGTATCCCGACCCAGAAAAGCAACGTCAGAGAACAATAACGTAAACGCAAATTATCATCCGCACAAGGATAGAACAAGAAAAAAGATCAAACACGACTGAGAAGATATAAAATGAGAAAGATATAAAACTTTAAGCATAGCCGCGTAAGTACAGCGTCCCACAACTCTTCCTTTCGCAACCCGGCGCATAAACGAGATCCCTGGCTCCGGAGTTTCGAAGCCAGTGGTTCCGTTGTGTCCATTTATACATGGCCGTTACAGCGCGCCCCACGCATAATCTACGCCATGGCGAGGCATGAATAAGTTGTCGTCCGTCGTTGTCAGCGCACTTTCCGAGCCGCATATCCGCCTATAAATACGAAACGCGTGCGTTTCTTCTATTTTCGAGCATCTAAGTCGAGTTTTCTAAGGCTTCTATAATACCACAAGCGCAGTGGGACGGGAGGTCCTTTCCTGCGAAAGCGTATACGGCCAGCGAGCCGGCCCAGCCAGCCGGAGCCACGCCAAATCCCTCCTTCCGTATTTCCGACGGCCACGACTGCCTTAAGGGCGCAAAGGGTGTGGCAGCGGGTCGCTTTGCCCTGCCGATATTGTGCCGCTTCGCAGTTCTTCTCATGAAAGTCAAGTGTGGTCGTGAGGAAGCGATGAGGAATAGGGAAGGGTTGGATTCCGAGCGAGAATTGCGTCCTTGAGGCGGCATGACACAAGAGAGAGAGAGAGAAGGAGAGAACTGTAAAGATGTCATTTAGGGGAAAATGCTGCGAACGTTCTGGGGAAGAACTGAGCACAGCGGGTCGCCGTGGTCCGGGACGCCGGCGCCAATGGAAATGAGTTGTTCTCCCGGCGCACGATTTCTTTCCATGGAGTGGCGCTTTGCCCTCGCTACACATTGAGTTACTTTATATCTGAGTTGATGCATATGCAACCACAGGTAGCAAAGTCGTGCACGACTTTCCATTGGGCCGCTCGCACTGTTAATTGGTTAGCGCCGTCAGGTGCTGCAAAATGACGTCGAATGTTCAATTTTGCTGCGGCAAAACTTACTTTACGCTCATGGTGCTGCTCCCACGTTGTACGCTTCCGTCGATTCTATCACCATTGTTTGTTTGTTTTTCGAACAAAGAAGCAGCTTTGAATGATGCTCAACGACAAATGTTACTTTGCTAGTGATCACCAGCGTTACTGTGACCTTCATGGTCTTTTTGTGATGTTCCCTGATCAGCTAATTTAGGCGGCCAAATTTCATTCACGGCCATGTATACGTACAACCATAGCCAGTGCATTTCGGCTAAGCAAGTAAAAGTCGTGAGTGGGTGGAAATATTTGCTCCATATTTTGTTGCAAGGCACCGCTCTGCTGGAAGCGAACTTTTCAGATTTTAGATCGCAGCATATGCATCAGAAAGCTGTGGTTGTGGGAAAGTCCTCTGTTGGGATATTCTACGTGCATGCGACTCGATGAGCTAAAGTATTTTTGGTATAAGCGTAACCATATGCAGCTTTACTGAACGAATTATGCGGATTTAGTTCAATTAGGTAACCTTTGAATCAGTTCAACCTTTCAGTCGTTTAGTTATTGTTTAACAACTCCGCCACTACCAGTTCATCTAACTCCGATTTATTTTTTTTATCATTTGGTCCTATTAATTCACACTTTTGAGCGTATGCCAGTCACCGCTCTATGCCCTGCATTGCCTTCGCATTATCCGAACCCTGCAAAATTATTGTAGTACGCATCGCCCTTGTCCGCGGACGTGATTCTCTAGAACATATAGCAACATACGAACTCGCTGCAAGAGTGAAATCTCGCTCAGCGCGTGCGAATACGGCTGCAGCATGTCACCCGCGCCGGAACAACGCGCCTTATTTCTTATCTGTGCGCGCGACAAGTAACTTCACTGCGCAGCCGTTCAGCATAATGGCGAACCTATGAGAAACTTTTCTCTCGTATATAAAGAGCGTGCATATACAGTAGCTGTAGCCATATACTACAGTAAGGCCGGGAAAAGTACGCGGCTAAAATTGGGCGGGGTATTCGTCCAACCTCTCCAGCGCGTTTTCTTTCCCAGCCCTGGTGAATTAGCATGGGGCAGTCCCCGAATTATAAAAAAATGACAGTGTTTCTTGGAAAACTTGAACGCAGAAATTTCGGTTGGTCTGTTTGTCTGCTTAGGTCTGTCTGTATGTCACACGATGTAACATCTGGCCAAAGTTTGAGCACTCGCTAAACGCCCAGGCGTCCTGAACTGGTGGCTGCGTTCATACTTGTAAACATTGCCGATCAAAAAAATATATTACGCATATCTGAGACACAACACCGATACGTATATATTAGGTGGTGTGGTGCTTTGCTAATAAATACGTAGATGCGTAATTCTGAAGAACCTGGTTTCCTACTTGGCACTGAAAATGCCGTGCTATGCACCGAAAAAATCCTTCTGCCGACGATATGGTGATACCTCCTTCGGCCAGCGTCTGCTTCGGCGCACAGTAGTACATGCGCCCAGCCACTGACCCTACCACGCAATAAAATACAGTCACGCCTCACAAATGGTTTCTCTTTGCCTACTATTTTGCTGTAAAGCCCCACACGTGACCAAAACATTGATATGTCATTAAGGTAAGAACACGTGGCATACCAGCAGTGATAACGGGGTGAAATGAAATCTGTTCAATCAAACCTTCATTGCATTTATTATGTGATAATTAAAATGGTGCGAAATAAAAACGTCACGGGTTATCGTGGATGATACCGGAACTCATGTAGTCCAAACAGCCGAAAATTGTCATCTTTTGATGACATTTGCAGCGTAGCACACTGATACGAGGCCACTTTTTATTATTAAGTATTATTTTTATGTGCAATAAAACGTTTCTTTTTGAACATTTTATCGTGCAATTTAATTGCCCCATTTAAGTTGTATATCTATTCCTGAAACCACGCAATTCTTAGCTAATACCCCACAGTGGGTGTAAAACTCAGTTATTAGGTCAACGAAAGCAATAGGTTAGTTTTTATTTTCTATCCTATCGCCGTTTCACGTAATTGAAGTAAAATTTACACTCCCAGCTCTTCTAAATCAGGGTCTGGAACTATTTATTCAGTTAACCTTTTTTTTGGCGGCTCTACTTTGGGTTACAATCACAGGGATATTTTTAGGCATTGAGGAATTAATCAGTAAGTCTAAAAGCATATCATGCTAATGCCTCAAAGGGTAAAATATTTCCTTCTGTAACGAGGGCAGTGGACATGGAGCTTGAGTATAGAAAAGGAAGAATACTTGCTGTGATCGCAGGCTTGCGCTCAGTTAGCCCTTGCGCTAAATAAAGCTCTTGTTCGCCGAGTCAACTACTGCTTGTTCAACAACCCGTTTCAAGTGGTGGAGGTGCTGGGTACATCTGGTCCTCACCCTGGAACTTCGCAGCCGCACACTCCAACGACCTCTTACAATGACTGATCCGGGGCCATCTCAGGCCGCTACTCCAGATCTCGCACATGTGCCCGTCTTCTGCGCTGGCACTCTCCGGCAACGCGACGCCACCCCCCCCCCCCCCCATTTTGGTGGCACAGAGGACCAAGATGTGGACAACTGGATTGCCGAGTATAAACTGGTGAGCGCATACAATATGAGGAACGCAGCCGATAAGCTCACAAATGTGAGTTTTTACCTGACCGATGGGGCAAATCTATGGTACAAAACTCATCAAAGTGATTTCAGTACCTGGTCGGAATTGGCAAAAACCCTCGCGGAAGTCTTCGGCCGTCCTGCTGTCCGCCGCCTTCGGGCTGAACAGGGCTTGCGGGGCAGAGTACGGAGAGCAGATGAAACTTTCACAAGCTATATCGAAGATGTGCTATTTCTCTGCAAGCTCGTCGATTCGACTCTGGACGAGGCAGGCAAGATCAAGAACATCATTAAAGGAATCGACGACGGTGCATTCCAAATGCTGGCTGTGAAGAGTCCCCAGACGGTCGCCGAGGTGATTCAGCTCAGCCAAAGCCATGATGAGCTGCGTAGGCAGCGCGCTTTTACACTTTGTGCTGCTCAAGACACCGCGGACATCTCATCCCTCGACTATCGCCATGACACCACCGACCACTCTGCGTTGATGCAACTCATTAAGCAATTCATACGCGAGGATGTCGCCCGGC